GGTGTTCATTGGATGGACTGATGCTGAAGCTGAAACTCCAATATTTTGGCCACCTCATGCGAAGAGTTGACTCATGGGAAAAGATCCTGATGCTGGGAGGGATTGGGGGCAGGAAGAGAAGGGGACGACAGAGGATGAGATGGCTGGATGGCATCACTGACTGGATGGACATGAGTTTGAGTATGCTCCGGGAGTTGGTGATGGACAGGTAGGCCTGGCGTGCTGCAATTCATGGGGTTGCAAATAGTCAGACACGACTGAGCGACTGAACTGAACTGAACTGAACCCTCATCATTATTATTTTCCTGGTTGTTGAAGAATGAACAGTCCAGACAGCATTAAATCAGAAGTTCCTGGCATTTGTGTCTTTATCAATATCTACCTGATAATGGGTGTTAGGGCTTACCTGGTGGTTCAGACAGTAAAGAATCTGCTTGCAGTATAAGAGACCTAGGTTTCTTCCATGGGTCAGGAAGATCCCCTGGAGAAGGGAATGGCTACCCACTCCAGTATTCTTGTGTGGAGAATCCCATGTAGCCTTGTGGGCTACAGTCCATGTGTCTCAAAGAGTGATACACAGCTGAGCAACTAACACAATGGGGGTTAATTTCTCTTTGGAGCTGCCTTGGAAGATAACATAAACCATGATTCCAGCCATGGAATTTCCTCAATCTGGCTTTTATTTCTTATGCAAAGGAATTATGGTTTTTCACCCCCTAATAGGTGGATATTTGCTTACATCTCTAGAGAGTCAGAAAAATGATATAGATTTCATTTCTTGTTGGAGACTGATTTTTATTTTCAAACAGATAAAAGAATATAACTGAGTAGACTACCAGCGGGCACGCTCTCAAGCTTGAACAAAGTGAGCTCTGAGAGAGCCTGACGCAGTTGTAGGGGGTTGAAGGCCAGGTAATGTCCTCAGAGTCACGGTCACAGCTGAAACACCTACCCACCATGTTTGTGACGTTAAGAAGGGCATATGAGGGCGCTCTAGAAACGGAAAAACTGTGTAAAATGAAGTGTACAAGGCACCTCTGCTAGTGACTCTTTTCAAGATTGGCTTTCAGTAACTGTGCTACAGTGTTCTATAAATTTATTCTACAAAGAAAATGGTTAGCGATCATCATCTGAAGTTAATTAAGTTCCTGTAAACAAAATCTCAACCAAATATGTGAAAATATTGGAATTGGCCTTTTTTAAGTAAAGCTTTCACATCAGTATACTTAAAAATCATATTGAAAAGACATAGGATTTTGAAACATGTCCAACTTTCATTTTCACTGGCCAAACTGAATTAATTCTTCTGTTTTCTCTTCAGAGGGGCACAGTGTTACCTCTTAAGGGACTTCTCTTCTCAAAGGGATAAAATGTACAAACACAGCAACTAAAAGAATGACACTTTCAATTCATTTGAGATTTGTTTTGCTTTTTTGTTTTGTTGTAAGCCTATCTGCTAATGTGCTGACCGTGTTCTAGGCATTGAGAGGAATTAAAAACTGTCACTGTGCTAATGGATCTTGTTGAGAGTGAAATGACTTTCATCTAAAAACTATTGTACTCAAGACAGTGTCCATAAGTCTCCAATTAAATTTAATCAACCACTAATATAATGCCAGAGATCTATAAGGCAGTGTATGGTTAACAGCAGGTAGGCTGGTGTGGCAAAGAAGTGGAATTTAGTAAAGGTAGATGAGGGTGGCTGTGGGCTAAATTATGTGCCCCCTAATTCATATGTTAAATTCTAGAATGGGACTGTATTTGGTATAGGGTCTTTAAAGAAATAATTAAATTAATATGAGGCTATTAGGATGGGCCCTAATCCAATGTGACTAGTTTCCTTCTCAAAGGAGATTTAGGATGCAGACACAGAGAGGAGATGTCATGTGAAGACACTGGGAGAAGACAGTCATCTGCAAGCCCTGAGGAGAGGTCCCAGAAGAAACCAGCTCTGCTGACCCCTTGATCTTAGACTTTTAGCATCCAGAATTGCAAGGAAATAAGTTTCTATTGTGTGAGCCACACAGTCTGGGGTACATTCTTTTATTTATGGGAGCCTGTGTAGACTAATATAGTGGCCTTTGAGGATGAGTAAGATTTGTTTAGGTTGAGAAAAGAGGGCAAGTAGGTGCTACATTCTCTCTTTCCTGTTGTTCTTATTTGGATTTTATTTTCCTTGTTTGTGTCCTTTTCCTACTATTAGGTGTAGAAGTTAGAAGATAGTGGGGAGAAGGGAGATGGGAAAAGAATTTGGGATGGAAGAAGTAAAATCAGAGAATGCATGAGACTGTTGGAGACCAGACTTGTGTTTTACTGGAGACCATCAGACATGGAAAAGCAACAAAAAGCAGCAACTGTAAAAGCAGTGAGCAGTTTTAAAACTAAAGGATAGCATTAAGAATAAGAAACTGTAGAGTGGTTAACAGGATTATGAAAAGTCTGAAATTTATCTGCACTCAATAAAGAGGTCTTTATTGCTTACTTGTGGCATCTTGTTAAGTTCAGCCTCTATCTTCTAAAGATAAATTCCAATATTATCATTGTAGCTATGACTTATTTGCTATTTATAACACCCTAGGGTTGCCTTCTTGCTACATTATTTTTACACTGTTGAAATAAAATTTTTACAATGGATATAAATGATGTAAATATAATAAGGAAGCATTTATATCAATAGTAAAGACATGGCTGGGCTACTGAGTCAAATAGAACTTGTCACTCAAGTGATTCTCATTACCTATTAAATATTTCCCAGTGACTGAGGGGTTTTCAGTTGTGTGAGAACATAGTAGGGACAAACACCAGTGTGTGAAGATAAAATGCTGCCTCAAATCTAAGCTATTAATCCAAACTCACATGTTCTTTCCTTGTGGCTCAGCTGGTAAAGAATCTACCTGCAATGCGGGAGACTTGGGTTCGATCCCTGCATTGGGAAGATCCCCTGGAGAAGGGAAAGACTACCCACTCCAGTACTCTGGCCTGGAGAATTTCGTGGACTGTATAGTCCACGGGGTTGCAAAGAATCGGACACATCTGAATGACTTTCACTTTCATATATTCTACCACCTGGACATAATTTGTTTTCAGTGCGTAATGTCAAGAAGTTTGTATTTCAGTGGCCACATGCAAATTGTTTCTTGAGGAAAGAGCCTATGGTTGGCCTAACTCCTTTGAGTACTTTAGTCTCAATAGTGACTGTAGAGAAATGTTTCT